ATATTTTAAAACATTAAATTTTATAAATTATAATATATAATAAAATAATAATAATAATATATTAATATACTATAGTAGTAATATACTAATATAGATATTGTATATTTATATAATATAAGTTATATAATTAATATATAATATTATTTTTATATATTAATATTAGGGATGTCAAACTGGCTCTTCGTTCGCGAACAGCTCGTGTTCGGTTCGTGTTCGGCTCGTTCGTTAAGAGACGAGCACGAGCTTATTTCAAACAAACTAAATTTTAAACGAGCCGAACACGAACACAAGCTTTGTTCGTTTACACCCCTACTAACAAGTCAAGCCCAAACTAGCACAAGTCGAATCTAGCTCGTAATAAAAATAATTCATTAAAAATAAAATAAATACATTAAAAAATAAAATTAAAGATATAAACCTAAACGAATAAGATCATATGAATCACCTCAAAATAATAAAATCTAATAAACACTGCACATATAAAATATATAAAAAAAAATAATTACATCCTTACCATTCCTTCCGACCAGATCCTGATAAGCGCAAAAGCTGGCCAGTATCCCCTCCAGCTTCCGGAAAACATCGCCGGAGCTCTCCCTCGACACGCAGAGCCCATACAGCACTCCCGGCAACGCGAAAACAAACGCCCGCTCGGCAATCCTAACCGCCATCGAATCCTTCGCGAGCATCCACTCATGGTCTCCCACCTTGCACGTCGCCATTGCCACTGACCTCCCGGCCAACCGAATGCTTCGTGCCGAGAATTCGCCCGACCGGAGAAGCTTCGACGACTCGAAGCGATCGCCGCAGAGAACGAACAGCTTCGATTGCTGATGAGCTCCGGCAATTGCAAGAAGCTCCGTGTCGCTGCCCTGCTGCGGTTGGGTTGGGTCTCTCCATGCCATTGATGTCGTTCTCCCTGTAGATCTATGTTCTTTAGATATGAAAACTCACACACACACACACACATATAGGGATATATATATATATATATATATATATATATATATATATATATGAAAACTTTTAACAAGATCCAAATTTCTTAAGATGTGAAATATGGAGACTTATTATACATTGTATGACATTGCTATCATGCATCAAGATTTTCTAAAATTTATACATCACGAATACACTCATTAGCAAGTATAAATCATTCACATCAAACATATAAATCATCCACGCATGATTGTTAAATTCAAGTTAAAAGAGAGATGACAGTCGCCTACACACTCACCTATTTGAGAAAGAAAGATTTGACGAAGAATAATTTCCTAATTGAATTTAATATAAGTAACTATAACATAAAAATTATTTAAAAAAAATTCATATGCCACATTTATCTCAAAATAAATCTAAATTAATCTAAAATTTTCCCCATCTAATAATTTCATGAAAAAGAGAGCTAAATATGAGAATGTTATATGGTCATCCTAAACATGCAGATTAAGAGTGTACATCACGAATATATCCAAAATACGTCTTGAATCCACCCATTTGTACGTATAAACCATCCACACAATATATTTCGAAGAATTAGAAGAGGGAGGACACTCACCTACTTGAGAAACAAAAGTGAAAGAAGAGAATTTTGAAGGATGAGAAATGAAGAAACTAACTATGTGAGAAGAGAAATACAAGGGTGAAGTAGGCTATATATAAAGAAGGCAAAAAACCCTAATTTAACAGGAGAGGATACTTCCGGGTGGCACGTCAAGGCAATGCGTGGTTCGCATGCGGAATGGGTCCATCATTATGTGCCACAAGAGCTGCGAGCGAGAGAGCGTGCGTGTATTTTTTTGAAGAGCCGGAGGGTATTTTGGGAAGAGCAGTGGCCGGGAGAGGTG